GAGCTTTTCTACCATTCCCGTTCTTCTGTACCTGATTAACTCCTGCGGAATCACAGGATTTCCTCATCCTGGCGGTTAGCAAAGCCTTTCAGATTTTTTGCTTTGTGGCTGGATCTCTAATCAAATCAGTGCTGGCGGACAATTAACGGTCGGGAATGCAGGTATGTCGGAATGCTTAAAACGTAGGTATGTATAATAAGAGCTGCACAGTTAAATCTTCTATACGGATTTTTGATAAAGTGACGATCTTAGTAAAAATGTCAGAATCATTGCATTCGTATATTGTTCTTCTTGACATGTTATTCTTGGTTTTCCAGATCGACTTCCGCAGCATTTTAAAAATGGAAAACCTCATAAGCAATAAGCTAGTCATAACATAATGAACAACCAAATAAAAGCAAACTCTTTTACATGTAGAGTCAAGGTTTTGCTGTAGGCCAAATCAGATACACTTCCAAGGCAAATAGCAATGGCATCAGCTTTGGATATCAACTCATGCCGCTCGCCGTTCTAAAAAAACAAAATATAAACAGAATTGAAAACAAACAAATCCGGATACACATATAATTCAAGACATACCCAAAAAGAATAAATCTTTCGCATTCGAGACCAAAACTGGTCAGCATTAACTTCTCTGGACGACATCACAATCGTAAAAAAAATCGGATGTCCGAAATCCGTCAATCAAAGTGTCAAGACTGAATTCAGCAGCTGCAGATACGTTGAAACTTGAACCTTCAACAACAAATACTGTGTAAAACTAATGTGCAATAAACAGAATTGCGAAACTCCAAATTCAGAGGGCAGCACTGCATTTTCAATACAGTGACTGGTGGAACTGGTGGAATAAAGAAGTAAAATATGAGATTTATATCAATTTTGAAAAATTGAGCTTTGAAAACCCTAGGGGTAGAACAGAAATCAACATTCACACAAAAACAAAAGCTTGCTTAAGCTTCCCTTTCAGTGGTCCCGTTTCTTACATAACAAAGCGGAGAAGTCTACTAACCAAAACCAAGATCTGAGATTATACAGGTATCCAACAGCGTCGGCATAAGCGCAGTATGAAGGAAAAACTACTGAACTACATGATGAAGTAATCGACTGTCTGCAGAGCTTGAGCACTACAAGAAAAACGTACATAAGGGGAAAAAAGTCGGTTTCATTTTATTAACTAGTTCCGGAAAGATTCTTTTTCTATCCCCATCACTAATCACGTGGGAATCTGAATTACTGGAGAAGATATCCAGTAGGCAGCATGCAACACCAAAAACAAAATACTTAAGTAGATGAAAAATCTTTGTCGCAACGACTGCGCAGTAAAGACGGCTTATTATCAGCAACTAACAGCTGAAAATACGGGGGACCTCCGAACCGGAGGAAACACATCAATGCGTAAACATTCATGGTTGCAATCAATATAACAGTAAAGAAATAATTATGCTGTCTGCAAGCAAGCAATCAGGTACAAATTAATTCAGCAGTCTGTCAAAAACCAGGGGACTACGCCAGTAGTCGAGTACATTCGCTCAGAGTAATCCACTGTCAAAAAGAACGAGTAACAAGCCTTAAAAATAATTTGTCAGATAAAGTAAACAACCGGTTATCTTTAACCAAAGCTTGAAATAAAAACACTGCCTAGGAATGAACATTTAGCTTCAAAGAAAATCCAGCACATACTCTTAAAAATATCAGCAGATTTGCCTGTAAATAAGATATGATTTATCTGAATGGATATTTATGACAGAAAACTATTGGCGATAATTAGCAGCGAAACCCTTCCAATAACGGCTGCACCTTAATTCCGCGGGAAATCTATTTCTTAACGTGAAGTACGATAATGCAAAAATGAGATAATTAGGTACAAAACAAGTTGCAGAAATCATCTTGAATAACGAAAGCAATGAATCAATTGCGGTAGTATAACCAGGTATTGTATTAGTAGAAAACTAGCAAATAACACATGATTACGATTTACAACGGCAAATAAAATCTATTTCGGAAATTTTCATCTTCAGAAAAGTTAGTTTCTGGAACTATCAGCTAAGTTATCGCATGACTGTAACTAATGATTTATGTATGGCTCTCGAATATCTAAACACACCGTTTCCGTGACTAGTGCAGCTTCAATAAGATGACAAAAATCATTCCCTTAAGATATATCAGCAAAATTAAACAGTGATATTGTGTTAATTATAGAATCTACAATCTACTGAAGTAGTGAAAGCGCGGGCACCACCATGAAAGTGTGCCTACGAGTTAAAACATTTACTACGTGAATAAAGTCGCAAACGAACTCAGTTTTTCAGCATATACAAAAAATGCGTGAGTATCGCAATTAATAGTTGCACGTAGCAAATAAATGGCAATATCGCTTTAATTTGAGCTTACGAATAAAATGAACGTGACTTATTCGATGTCGAGCGTCGTGCAAGATCCCTCTTTTTGACATTTTCCTGCGAGTCTGAGGGGAAAATTTCGTATCGGTTTATCTGAGTATCCAGGTGGAAATATACAGAATTGCTAATCATCGTCTTGAACAGAGGATACGATATCGCTCAATTAGCGATAGGGAAAAGCACAGTAAACATGCGCAAATGAGTCAAACTGTCAGTTGGAACAAAGTACTCTCAGCTAAATTGCCAGACGGGGAGTTTAAAGTGGAAAGTACACCAGTGCAGTTACCAGTATGGACAGAGGAAACGGAAATCCGTCTGCTTAATCTACTCAATGTGGACGCTAAAAATATGATAAGTATGAAAGGGTACTTTGCAAGCGCTATTTCAGTGATATTATGGTATGACATTGCGATGATAAGGATGGAAGGGACCAGCATTAGCGAATCGGTTAACTATAAGGCATACAGAGAATTGAGCTGTAAAATTACCATCATGGTAGCTGCCGTGTTCCCGGGGCTCATGCACAGTCTCGAAACACCTGCAGTTATTAACGTCATGAAGGTCCTTTAAAAATCTTGGCACAACGCTATATATGATTTGTCAAGTGAGATATTACCAACGGTCGCGAATGGACAAATGCTGACTACTAGCGGTCTGAGATTAGGTAAACTCAAACACTTTAACGTAGCTTTGTTTGACTAAACGACTCTAAGTGTTATTGATTTAATTTATAAGTTTTTTTCATGAGAAAACGTCTTTTTTAGTCTTTTCTAACAGGTAAATAGCCGTAAGCTCGTTGAAAGACAATATCAAATATGCAAACATTTCGATAAGGCAGAGCCATTGGTAATGAATGCCTTGTCGCTGGAGCAGTGAAACGTTGCCCATTATTTTTTTGTGATATCTTTTTTAAAAATCAGGCATCATAAATCTGAGTTGTACTGCTTTTTAAGCTCTGCTGGTATTCGGTGACGAGGGCGCAATGCTGATGATGATTACAGTGAGATACAGGATCGTTTTGGATCTTGCTCCTGATTCGACTGTGATTGAGCACTAGTCAGTCCACCTTAATAAAATTTATCTTTGAATTGTATATATAGAGAAAAAAGTATTAATTCAGCAAATCACTTGTGAAATCTAAGTCTAAATTAACACTACTCTTTTCTGTTTAAATTTTTTCAGAGGGTACAACCTATACCTTAAGAATGACCAATAATTTACAAATTTACCGCGTATTATGGTAAAAGGACAACCTTGAACCACATTTATCTATGCATTTTTAAACTTTCATGAGTGAGTGTCAATCATAGAATGTCCTTTTTCAATAAGGTTTATGATGTTGAGCCAATTTCTCATGTTACGTGCAAAACTAGAGATTCTTGAAAACTCCTTAGCTCTTTTCTATAACTAGGTAACCACTGTAGCGTGTAGTCTCATGTTTGCAATGCTGCGCATTTATCAGTTTAGTAGAAACGAAAAACGAGTGACGTTACAGGGGCACGAGCTCACGATCTTTCGCTTGGCAGTTCGACTATCTACGTCGCAAGTCGTAAATTCGAAACTGTAACTTAATCACCTTCGAGGACATAGAACAAAGGGTTAATCGTTCATAGGTTTACTTTAATTATTGACCAAAACCGCTGTCATTGCATTTTGTTTTGGCTTTTATGTACAGCGGTACGCGAAGGTTTTTGTCCAGGTCACATATGATCAAACAAATGTACAATGCTTCGTGAGCGTCTTCTTTTATATCAACTTTAGACCCTTTTAGATCTTGAGTACTAACCGTTAAAAATGCTTCCATTTACTTCGAGATGTAAATTTGGAGTGGCAAATGACATTCTGCAAAGTCAAAGCAAGGAGCATAAATGTACTGTATTATTCGGTTCATTAGAAGACTCGTTTATCAATACCTGATCATCTTTCTGAATTCCTGTAATAAATTGGACAGCACATTGACTTCATCCTAGGTAAAAATTTGTCGTTTTGTCTGTCGTCCATATGTGATAGGTATCGTGAGTCAAAGAAATGGATAGTCGAGAAAACGCATGGTCTTCGGGACAGGCTCAAAATAAGAGTAAATGGCTTGCGTTAGGTTTTATAACATTGACGAATCATGTCCTATTGTTTAGTGTCCAGGGCCACCACCGAGGGCATGAATGAATTGACGCAACGGCTAAGCAGCCAGATCCAGAAGATATCTCAAAATGGTTCGGGAAATTTTCGATCATTTTCACATTCGTTTCATGCTGTCTTCATGCTCTTTAGTTACATCTATTCAGCGGATGGTCGCTCAGCTGGGCACCCAACACGATTCTGAGATCCTTCGCCAGAAGCTGCATGAAATGCAGCACAACACCCATACGCTATCGCAGGAGACGATGGAGGCGCTGCGAAACCTTCCGGCGTTGCCCCTTCCGCTGAACAATGTCGAACAAGTACTTTCATAGTTACCTCTTTGCTAATCAGTAAAAGTATAGTAATGATTAACATGTAAGCAGTGTGCAAATCTATGATATGTATTATCTTTTACGATACTTTACAAAAATGCTTTGTAAATACGCGCATATTTTAATGGCAGCACTCGTGGCACAGCACTCAAGGACGACTTATGTCCGGCCTGGTGATTGAAACACTGTATTAATCTTATTAGATTATATTCAAAAATCTATCTGATTGTCTGAGATTTTGGGCACGTTGCATTATTTGTATTTTTGTACTGTTCTCGATGGTTGTGACCTTTTTTTGTATGGTTTTGTAGATATTTTAGACTGACATAATATCTGTCCGCCGAACGGATGACTCAATAGTCCAGTTCTGTTATTCGTTTGGAATCTTCGGTTCCAAATACAAAACTCATTTAAATTTCTTGATTACGTTTATCCTAACAGATTTTCAGTATGCATGGTTTCATTCTTTTACTCAGAAAAGCAGATTAACATCGTTTTTATAACTGAACTGTACGCTCACGAACGTTTTTGTTCAGCTCTGTTGGTGTAGATCTTTCCTTTCTTTATATAATAATTCAATATACGGCCTACGGCATATGCGACAGTTGCCTTGCTGCCGCATCGTATTTAGTGTCATGTTGGTAAATGATGCGGTTTTCCTTTTTTCCTTCTACCGTCGATCTCTGCCCTTCGCGCATTGCGGGATATTTTTTTTGTCATGATCGTCACCTTGAACCGTTTGCAGTAGCGAAACGTCTCTGGCATGTGATGACCATTGAATCCCAACATTGCAGCACTTTTTCTTTACAGCAGCGATTTAGGTGGTCGTTGAAAGAGCGGCTTCTATTACACTTAGTAGGAGGAATGATTATTAATCAGATGATGCTCTCTAGGCTCGACTTTTCCGGCATTGATACTGAACTTTTGATTTGCAAGCATAATCTAATGTGACCTATTTTACCTAGGCCATTTGGTTAAATGACCGCCCTCCTCCCGAGCAACTAGAAATAAGGAACCGCGCAACGCGTCTTTTAGGAGTTGTACATTATTTGATATACTTCGACGTACAAACACATTTTGGTGTTTATGCTCTAGCATATAAAGAGCAGCAGCTGATGTGCCCAATATCGCTGCAGCAAACGAAATAATGTAGGAGGCGTCTGTTACATATGCTCTCAAATACCATAGAGCCGTGATTTGTGTAAATGTCTCCCCCACCCAGACAACTACGAGCAAAAAAGGGGACATGCGGTACGTCGCCATAACACGTACCACGGTTATTGCGTGGTATTTATTCGGATCCGAAAGCAGCCTTTTTCAGTGGAACCAGAATTTTCGTCCAGTCATTTTGGGTCTCCTCTTTCTGCCGTACTAATCGAGAGAGATTCACTAATGCCAGCCCTCGTTTTATTCCTGACTCCTTGATTACCTCTGGCTGTATTCCATCGATTCCTGCAGTTCTGTGATCTTTCCGTTAGCTTAGAGCTTCAGTTACATATTTAAGGGTGGCGGTCCGGCGGTGGAGCACCGTTGTTTGCCAAAGTCTCGATGGAACTGTGTAACCGTGCTCTCTTCTCCCCTGTTCCAAGAAGATAGAGTAGACATTTGAACCCACCAGACTATGAAGGCTGCGATCGCCAGAGGCTTAAGCCTGTTAGCTGAACGGTCCTGATGCTGACGTCGCGCTTTTTGTTGTTGTTGTCCAACATCGGCAGGAATCTTTTGTCCAGGTATAATAACAACACAATAAATCTTGTTTCACAGTTTCAACATAAGGGTTTAGTGGGATTCAGAGTCTGTTTTCCATATAGCGACGACTTCTGTATAATCGGGCGTTATGTTACCATCCTCTTTCACAAAGGATATTAGTCGAGGCTTCATTTTATCGGTCTTCCCATTTAGCAGTGGATGTTTTAGAACTAGATCTTCATGTCTTTTTTCCCCGAGTTGCTTCTTCCGTTATTTCAGCTTGTCTCTTTCAGAAATGTTCTTTATATTTCATGAATGATGTTTTAATTTTTTGATTTACTTCTCTGCTGATACTTTATCTGTTATCCATCACTTATCCACGGGTTCCTTCATCTTTTATTCCGTCCCAGTTGCTCTTCTGCCGCTACTGCTACTACCTTCTTTGTCTGTGTTCCAAAATGTATTCACCAATATGTTGTCTGTATAATCAATACGTCTGGTCGGATTTTTCCAGTGATCGTGACCTGATATACTTGGAATACTTCTGGACAAGTTTCTCGACTTAATACTTGTAGATTTTTGGCTGCTAATCAAAGACTTTAAACTTGAACTTTTGACATCACCAACTCATGATCGCTACCGCATTTTGCGCTTCCCTTCACTCTGACATCTTGTAGCCATTCTCGATGTGTTATGGCGATGAAAACAGTAAATCTTGCTAACGGTTAATGCATTAGTGAGTACCATGTGATTTTATGGACTGATTTGTGTGCATGCAAACGCGGTTCTGCTAGTCGTTCATCGTTATCAGTCACATTTCCAATGCTATGTGATCCCAGGCATCTATACAACTCATTTATTGTTGTCATTGTTTCGCATTGAAATTACCCAGAATGATCAAGATATCATGAGTTCGGCATTGTTGGAGCACCAGACTCAGCGAGGCATAAAATTTTTCCTTTACTGCCTCTTCCGCAGCTTCAGTGACAGGAACACGACAACCTACTATCGTGAAGGCAAGTACTTTGCAGCACTTGGATTTGAACCTCCACCATAATCATTCGGTCAGATATCACATTCACACTCCTTCTGCGTTTTTACTGACTTTCGGAGCAACACCAGATCTGTGCGCAGCGTTTTCTGTTGTATTCCCTGCGCAGTACAGGCAATAACTTCCAGCGATCGCTACCTATTCATAGCCATTGTCTTTTGAATAGCATCTATCTGTCTTCCCATCTGACTCAGTCGTGCAACCAGTGAAGTATGTCCTGATCCGTTTGGCATTCGCACATTCCACGTGGCATGTTGGTCCAGTATTTAGCATCAAAGTCTTTCTGTTTTGTACTTTTTCAACATCCGTACTCAGCCGTAAGATTTCCGGGTCTGTTGCCAATAAAATTCAGTCTGAATAATAAATTATGTGCGGTTTCTGATATCAAGAATGAATGCGCCCGAAACGATTGCGCCAGAGCCTTGTTAGCCGTCCGTTTCAGGGTTCACAGCAGACTTTTACTGTAACAATTGTGCCTGGAAAGAATGCGTCACACCTTACTGCGCCCATGCAAACATTATCTTACGTTTGACGTTGCCCGATCTTCGCGACTCTGACGAGAGGTTAGACTTAGAGGGTCAGTGATTGTAATGAGAATCAAATTTATTATGATACTTATTATGAAGATAGGTGGTAATAATTGCGAAATTCATGATGGTGATAACAGTGACCACAAAGTTACCTTATCGATAATATTGATGAACACCGACGATAGGTGATAATGATAATAAGTAGTGTGATAATAGTCATCGCGATAATTATGCTCATTGCTGCGATGATAATCACAATGATGACGATTATAATAACGTTAAAAATCGCTGTAATGACTTAAGGATGGCATGATAATAAGAAGAATCAGGTAGTAAAAGGAAAAATATAAAAGTCATAATTGTTACGCTGGTAATGATGATTGATACTGTTGCTGGCAACAGTTGTGATGATGACAAATCATGATAATTGTTATCGTGATTATGCTAGAAATGATGATGAATCGTAATGTTAGTAATGCTGGTAGCAGTAATTACGACTGTATGGTATATTGTTGGTATAAACGGCAACAATGATTATAATGATAACGATTCATCACTTAAACACATTTTATAATACGTCTTTCTATAAAGACGAAGCAATCATGGTCCGAAGTATTTTTGTATATAATAAACTTTGTGTCGTGTCATCCCGTAAATTACCATTCGAATTTTGAATCCCTGTTAATCATAATAGTGGTAATCACGATAATTGCGATGACGATGATAATGACTGTAAGGTTACTTACATATTAATTGTAATGGAAGTGTTTCATTAATAATTCCGTTAAAAAATTAATAATTGCTCCAGTGCTAATGTTTCCTTTTCAGCGACAATGGAAGCTTCATAGGGAACGGTTGACGAACGATTTTTCTGTCGTTTTGAACAACTTTCAAGCCGTACAACGCTCAGCTGCG